GTGTTCACTGCCTCTCTCTCTCTCTGCCTTTCTATTCTCTCCACGACCTTCTCAGGTCACGGCAAACAGGTTGTATGTTATCACTTGTAAGGCAGGATCTAGGGGCAAATGACCTTTGCTTACCTGATTATTGGCAGCTAAATGTGTAGTGTGTTTATCAGTGGCTGATATTCCAACATATTCTAAATGTAAGCTTGAAGCAAGTGACCGGGGACTGCGAAATCACAATTAGCACCTTCCGTAGGTGGCATAATACCAGTATAACGCCTTTTGGGGCGACTAACGGAGCGAGCGAGAGGGTGGGCCTTGCACGTGCGAAATTGCGAGGGGGTACCTCCAACTGACTTGTGCACGGCACCCTACTAACCGGTCTCTAGCGATGTGCCAAATTTGGGCACAATCGGCCCAGCCGTTCTCGAGATCTGGAAGCGGCACCCTGCACGTGCGCACGTGCAAAATGGGTCCCAACTGACTTGTGCACGGCACCCTACTAACCGGTCCCTAACCGTGTACCAAATTTGAGCGCAATCGGTCGAGCCGTTCTCGAGATCTGGAAACGACCCCTGCACGTGCGCACGTGCAGCAGCGCCCCAACTCTGGCACATGGATATGCAGTGCCTAGTGGATGCCTACCTACATGCCAACTTTCAGCGCAATCGGCCAAGTAGTTACCGAGATATTGCAACAATTACAAAACGGACACCTCTTCGTTTTGCACGTGGCACGTGCATAAGGGGTCACCTACATGCATCAGGAATAGTCCAATACTTGGTAGAAGGAATGAAGCTACCCTACAAAAATTACCGCGTGTAAATCGGTCAAGTGGTTGCTGAGATATAAGCCTCGCAAAAGCGTGACCACGGCCGGCCGGCCGGCCGGCCGGCCGCTCATACTCAGAAATTTCCGTTAATCTAAAGGAAAGACTACGCTCGCTTCGCTCGCTCCGTAATTATGCCACTGCGATCAGCGATGCACCGTCGGTGGTCCGCTTACTCGTAGTCAAATGTTTCTTGTTATCCCATAGCTCTGTAGCATTCTTATTTGACCGAAATGCTTCCTCCTAACAAAGCAAACAAACGAGCAAGGATATCCAAAGGAAGCTTACATGCCTAGTATTGCCTACTCCTCCGTGTTTACCGTTTGACTGAATTGGTTGGCTGTCCAACTGAGCTGCTTTCTTTCCGATGAGAATCGGAATGGTCTCAGTCATTATAGCACACACGGAGCCAATTGTTGTTCGACACAATGTCTCGCTCCAGTCGCTCCCATCCAGTCGTCCCAGACGGATTGGAAATGGTCTCGACAAGCCATTAGTACCTAATCCATCAGTACAAACAAAACAAAGCAAATTTGATACTTCACTGGGACAATGCTATGAAATATTAGAAACTATAGAAATATCGACATCTGGAAAGCTTCTGTCGTTGACCTTCAGTGACCTCATTATTCACTTGAATAAAAAACCTTATAATTTTGTAATCGACTACTTCTTGGTCATCATCTTTTTTCAAGCACAACGTGAGTTAGATTACCAAGTGTTCAAAGGTATCGTGTCCGTGAAGAAGTTTCATGTGACCGATGAAACGTTCATATCATTTGAAGCTGAGAAAATACTGATAACTGGAGCGTCGAGCGGATGACTCCGGCCTCCAAAACCTAAAGCATCTTGCGGAGTAGGATTTTCATGGTCGTAGCGTTAACCCGCGCCACGTGGGGGGGGGGGGGGCAGCCGAAACGGCCCCCTGCCCTTTTCCGTAGATGACTCTCAAACTACTGCAGATATCGTCACCACTTCTCCGGGCATCAATTTTACACATTTTTACGATCTTTTTCCAAAGGCATAGGTAGATAATATGAATCATGTTATCTATGCCATGTTATCTATGCCAAAGGCTATGATAGGTTGGCCACAAATGACGTCAGAATGACGTCATGTGACGTCAGAATGACGTCATGTGACATGTTCTGCAAATTTTGACTCAAAAAGTGTTTTGGGGGAAGAGCTGTCACGCATACAGCTTGGAAGCTACATAAAAATGTTCAATATATAAAAGATGTAGAATTACTTGGGCTATAAAATTGCTGTCTCGGATTTTAATTTTTATTTTGTTTTTGCCCCCAAAATAAAAAAGTATTTTTTTGATGTGATGCCCAAAAATCCCAAATCTGTTTGGATTGGAATTTCGAAAAATATGAATATATGTTATGGTCTTTACCGTCTTACATCGACATACCAAATTTGAAATCGATAGCTCTTTTTTGGCCAAGTTATGGCGAAGAAAACGTTCAAAATAGATGACGTCCAATTTTCAAGCTCAATTTTTAGTAGTTATTGACAACGTAGCGCAAAACGAAGGCCACCGTTAGGCTCCCCGTGACGAGCTGCATCGAATCAATACCCTTTTTTTCAAAATATCAACATTGTAAAGTTTGACCTTATTTGACCTGACCTTGACCTGACCTTCACCAGAACGTAACCCTTACTGGACCTAATGGTCGCCTAACCCACATAATCGCATTTTTCATGCAAAATGGACTATAAAACGTATCACACGACACTAGTTCATATGGTGACTTTAAGTGACCTGACCTCTGTGACCTGACCTGGTAACAGTGACCTCGAATAATAAAATATGTGTTACACAAACAGGTGTCCATCGATTATTTTTAATAGCATGCCTTTTACTCGATTTTACGACGCATTTCTTAGAATGCCTGTGAAGTGTGAACGGTGCAAAAATGCGACCTTTGACCCTTCCTGTGACGTCAGCAGTTGGAGCGAGGTCAATGAAATGAGGTCACAAGGTAGTTCTCCGGTGGGGCTATCGAACGCCATTTGAATTTTGAAAATCAGCCGGTTACTTTCCGAGGTCTTGGGAGAGGGGCGAAACGCCCCCCCCCCCCCCCTACGGGTGGCTGGGTCCGGTGAAAGTCCTACGTGGCGCGGGTTAAAGGGACACTCCCACCTTAACATTAGTTTTGAGTTGAGATGGCCAAATTGGTGGCCATGGCATGCAAATACCGGTTTGGGCACTCACAACATCGAAAAATGCTTTAATTCGAAGATATGGAATTTCAAACTTGCAGTTTTCGGATTCTAAGGGGCTAATGCATTGGAATGCCCCCTTAGAATTTGTGACGTCAGCGGAGATCTAACGATTTTTAAATCTTAGACTAAAACCATCGTTAACACGTGGTGGTATACGCTGCTTTGCGCGCAACGTCTGCCGCACTTTAAGGCTGCCAAATTATTGCTTCCAAATAAAGTCGCTAGCAACAGGGGAGATCCCAAAAAGTAAACAAAAGTAAAAGCCTAATATCTTGAAAACCAGTGAATATTTTTCGGTGAAATTTGGTAGATATTCGTTTTCGCTCTTTCTGAACCAAGGGACATCACTGTCATGCCAATTCATTAACTTTTTTGAAGGTGGGAGGGTCCCTTTAAGAGAATGGGTTAGGTACTCCTCTCCATACATACCACGCAATAATTGTAAAGCTCGTTTAGTCCGGCCGATGCAATCCGCTTAGATTACTCTTGGTACAAGCATTGTACCACCAAGCTCCTTGGTGGCTCGTGGCTCAGCTTCCACCAGTTTTGTTGTCATTGTCTCGGTCAAACGTCGAGAATATCATACCGCCTGGTAGCCAAGGCTGTCCCTATTGATGAAGTCCAGTCGGTATCCATTGGTCTCGGACGCGATGGTGAATTTCTGGTAGGTGGCGTAGGCCGTCTGTTCGTCCTGAAGGTCGTCCCAAAGGTCGATCCCCAGCCCATACTCTCGGTCCTGCTGGGAGGTCAGCTGCCAGAGGTAGTCAAGCCCTCATCAAAATTATCTTGCGAAACTTTCCAGACCCCGGTTGTAGGCCTCCCAGTCCAAATAGAAGTCCTGTCTGGGTGAAATTTCGGCTCGCCTTTCTTCCTTCTGCGTCACCATGGAGCTGCCGCCGCGTTTCCGAGTGGTGCTCTCCACACTGAGGGTGCCGCCCGGTGCCGCCCGCTTTATACCACCACACAGGTGTTCGGCTCACATCCACTGCCGATATATTGTGTGAAAAGAGCATTGTGGCGGCAGCTTTGCAAACAGCGCGTCTCGGTTCCCTGACCGGAAACGGGAACACACGCCTACATGTAGGTGGGGCCGTCTGTCATCAGGTATGAAGACAGTCTTGCTATCTACAAACGCGATTGGCATGTAAGCGGCTGCGGATAGGGCTTTACCGTTTACGCTCCGTATATGAAATGACCTTTAGACAAAAAAAGTCCGACAGGCGGCTGTTTTTCTGATGGTAAACTGGCCTCTGTTTAATTATTGTGAGTTTGTGCATTTTAAGTCCGTTTCATGTCAAATTCGCTCTATGCACTTGATAGAACCTAGCCATACCTCGGGTAACACTCAGATACAAACTTCTCAATGTCTTTCCACGGCGGCGTATTGGACGACTCGAAGTCCATATCAGCAGGCGACCACATCCGGAAGCTGACAGAGCTTACAAAGATAGTGGACGGCCGGTCTGTTGAGCTGACCTCGGCAGGCAGCCGACGTGATCACCAAACTACTATCTCACCGCCGTCAGCATCTCTAATAACTAGTGCCGAGCCGGCGCCCACCGGCCCAGTCTGATACCCGACAGCCATGGTTAACTCTGGTTAAACCGACAGCCATGGTTAACTCTGGTTAAACCGACAGCCATGGTTAACTCTGGTTAATCCGGCTATCATGATTTACTTTGGCGTCTTAGTCATTTTTACCTCCAAGTCAGATAGGGATTAAATGAAAAGGGAGATACGGACCCTTTGCTGTCGAAAAATTCAACATGGCCATTATTGGTAAGGGCTCAATAAATATTTAGGCCGTTACCAGATCAAAATGAGTCAGCATTTTACATCTAAGCGATCCTTACCTCTTCATTTGAACAGTTCCTCTCGTTATCATAACCTGGACTGTAATCGAAAAGCTAGAATTGGGATCGTATATTGACGGACTTTTCTTTTGTTTCAGCTCGATGGACACTGACTGCGCGGACGCCGACTCTGACGACTCTACTGACACAGTGGTGGCCTCGTGCGAGATGCGCAGGAGGTGGAGGGAGCGCCGACAGGACCACGGCACCGAGGCCCGCAAGCTCGGCCGCAGAATCAAACAGGAGAGGTTTGATGCGGCAGAAAACCTGAGTGCCAGTCAGACCGAGGACGCCCCGGCGCCCCAGCCGGAGATGTTCTCCAGATCTGACCACGCGCCAGCAGACCCGCCAAACTGGTCAGAGACGTTTGCTAAGAGGCCAATCAAGGTCGAGCCGTCGTTCGTTCCGCTCTATAAGGTGAAGTTGGAACACTCGCGGACAATGACTGATGCTGCGGATGATGTGAGCTGGACACCTCCTGCCGGCGGCGGAGGCACATGTGACACCCCGCCGTCGGCGCGACCAGATCTGAACCACCCCAACAGTGTGATGTCCGGCTCGGACTCGGATTTTGACGAGCCTTTGAGTGATGATGGGTCAGAGTTGGAGGGATTCAACGATTTCTTGGATGGGATCACGAGAGAGCTGAACGATGGAATGTACTCAGACTTGCGAGATGGATCCTTTCCAAAACAGGAGCCATCTGATCAGTTCAGCGAGCCTGCTGATCATGCAAAGGTCAAGCGCGAAACTCGGTGTCCAAGCGCACAAAACCTGTCCGCTGATGAATCTCATTCAGGTTTTGACGAACCCGATGGACTAGATCCGAGTCATGAAGATCAGGATAAAGCGGCGGATGAGGCAGTCGATCCTCCCGCCGCCTCTGATGTTGATGATGACGAGGTGGGCGAATCAGACGAACACCGTGACGATGTCGACCCTGCCGCAGACAACCTGGAGGAGCCCACCGCGGACACAGACGTCACCGAGAAGCCACTGCAGGACAGTGTCGCTGAACAGGATGCTGCCCAACTTGAAACCGATGAACCCTCGACGGATGACCTGGCCGAAAGTATGGACAGTTCCACAAGTGATGTGGAAGATCCACCTCAGGAATCGGAAGCCAACAGAACAATGGAAGAAGCTCCACTCGTCGAGACTTGGGAGCATCCGGATGGTAGTCAGACAGCCGAAGCGACGGATCCCTGTCTGCCACGGGAGACGGAGCTGTCGAACAAGGAAACGCAAGAGTTTGAACCTCAGACTGTGCAAACTGACAACGATGACACGACTTCTGATGTTCCACATGAAGCATCTTACTCTCAGCCAACTACTTGCGGCACAGCTACACCCAGCAGTGACGAAAAAGATGAATCTCAGACTGTGGAGGAAAAAACGGTCGTCTTTCCAACGGTAGATCAAGGTATTCAGGTCGATGACCTCAGTGATGGGGAGATACAAGATTCACCTGATGACTTGTCTCGAATACCTGCTCGCGAACAGATGTCTGAAATGGTCGACAGAGACGTTCAGACTGATCCACCGGAAACTTCAGTCGCGTCTTTGCAGACCACTAGTCCTCCGCCCTCTCAATCTTCTAAAAAGGCAAGTGAGGCAGCCGCAGACAAAAATGCAAAGCACATAGACGAATACTGTGAGAAAACGTTCTGGCTGCTAGAAACCTTCAGTGATGGGCTTTCCAAAGAAGACGACTGCGACAAAACCCGCTCAGTGCTTGACGGTGCTAAACAAGTAAGGAACGGTTTGAACAAAAGACACGGTCTACCTCTTTCCGAGCAGTTAAATCTGTGTACCACTGCTGTCCGATCGATGTTGAATGCACTGCGAAAGCTCTCCACTCGTCCGCCCAGAAAGAAGCCACGAACTGACGGGAAAGTAGAGACCAAAGACAAGCCAACAGAGATAGTGCCTCCGTTCACGACTTCCGGCGATCGTCCTCGTGAACTCTCGGCCGGGTCTTCACGAACTGCCGTTCGCGAACAGGACTCCCTGCGATGCACATTCTCTGTACGCTGCTCGGGCACGGAGCCAAACACTGGTAGCACCGCGGATGGGGTCGACGACGACCCAGCGGGACCAGCAGGCGAGGCGTCATCATCCGCAGGTGCACGATTGAAGAGTGCGCCCAGTGGGCGCGCTGCCACTGGTGATGAGGCCAGCGATATCTCTCTGTGGGCCACGACATTTTTCCCCACCCACAAGAAGCGTATCATCCAAGGTTGGTATCTTGTCATGGTAATGATCTTGTAGCCATGCCATGGCTAGACTTGTGGCGCTCTGCGCTAGATATGGGTCTGCGTCATTGGACTATGTATTTGGCGAAATGGTTACCTTGATTCCTTAAAAAAAACGCCCGTATACATATCTTAGACTTATCACAAAACGAGCATATTACTTGTTAATTTACCCGAGCGGTCCGAACGTGCTATGCATAATGGGTGCATTCACACAAATACTGTCGTTTTCCTCTGAGTGTAACATTGCTTTGTTGCTTTCTTTCAGATGGCTATGGTCGACCTTTCTTGGACAGACTGCGCGACTCGGCCGCGGTTAACTCCGTGTACTCCACGGCGTTCCAGCGACTTGCTGAGAAGTACCAGCTGGTCTTCAAAAACAGCGCGCGCCTACCGGACACAGTGCGAAAGCGGATGCCGAGCTCTGACCAGTGGCAAGAGATCTGCTCGAAACGTCTCAAGTGCGAGCTCTTCACTGGTTTTGGCATCTACCTGGAGGAGGTAGCTGACTTGCAAGACGAGTTCCTGCCCTTGAACCCATTTCGCATCAACCTCCGTCCCCTTAAGGATGGCCCAGCTGCCGGATCTGAAGAGGGCACTCCAGTGGCGGACCCTATGAAGCCGTCCCTCACACCAGGTGGGGTTAGACACTCGTCAGGTGGAGGTGGTTCAAGAGCTGCTGAACCTGCTGACGAAGTGGGTCATGGACCATCCAAAAGGGATGGGCACAACCTCACGTCAAGTGCGATTGCTTCTGAAATGGGTGGCAACGCCTTTGGCGGAGTTGCATCCGGAGACGGTTCAGCTGCTGCGAAAGTCAGACAGGGCTCCGGAGGAGCTCAGGTGTCTTCTGGGACAGCTGGGAAACCCGTGCACGTCTCAGATCGAGTCAAGCACCCGTCTGGCGAGGTCGCTGAGAGAACCAGAAACCTGTCTGGCGGGGCTCCTGAGAGAACCAGGCAACTGTCTGGTGGGGCCGCTGAGAGATCCAGGCAGCTGTCTGGTGGGGCCGCTGAGAGATCCAGGCAACTGTCTGGTGGGGCCGCTGAGAGATCCAGGCAACTGTCTGGCGGGGCTCCTGAGAGAACCAGGCAGCTGTCTGGCGGGACTCCCTCTGAGAGGTCCAGGCAGCCCTCTGGTGACACTTCCGTGGCGGTTGAGCAGTCGTCGGGTGGAGGCCCTTCTGATCCAGCGACACGTTCATCGGGAGGGATCTCTTTCAAAATCCGCCGCTCGTCTGGCAGCATTAGGCACTCATCAGGCGGAAGTGGGAGCACATCTGGCCGAATTACGCCGAACTCCCGGACTGGGAACGTGTGGGAGATGGAGTGCGAAAACTTCTTGGATAAAATACGGCCTCCTGGCGAAAGTCCTTCGAAAGCGCCAGAAGTACAGGACGCTCCGTTACCGGTGACCCCTGAGAAAGCCGAGGAACAGAATCTTCCTCCATCAACGCCTCAGAATCCCACAACCTCGAACCCTTCACGCAGCAGAGAGAGAACAGTTCCCCTTCGAAACCAAAGTTTCCGCTGCCTGATACCCATTTTCCGTACAAATCTGAATTCGTCCTCGGCATCCTCCAGTTCAAAAGTGTCCGCATCAGCTGCCAACGTATCCGCACCAGCTGCGAACGTGTCTGCCTCAGGTGTGAGGGTGTCCGCGTCTGAGGGAAACTTGTCCGCGTCAGAGGCGGGCGGGTCTGCGTCGGGCGCTGACGTGTCCGCCTCAGATGCGAACGTGCCCGCATCAGATGCGAACGCGATGCCATCCGGTGCGAGCACACCCCTCCAGGACGAGTTTGACAATGTCTCGCTGTTGTCGGAGGGAGAGATTCACGATTGGTCACCATCACCTCAGAAAGGCGGCATGCCGGCGGCTGAACGGCCTTCGGTCTCGCCTGCTCGCACCGGTAGCTGTGACGTGCGGGACACGGACGCCAGACACTCGGCCCGAAGAATCCTCCGGGATGGACTTAACCTGCTGGATCGACAGACGATGGCACCTGCGACAGCATCGGTGAAGCGACCACGCCAAGCTTCGGGCGAGGGAGACAGCGAAGCCAGGAAGAGAAGCAGAGTGCGGTCTGTTGTTAAGAGAAGGGAAAGGTGAGCGAGGCGTGTAATCCTTGTCTGATTTCCAATTCCCTGTAAGAAGGCTTTGTTTTATTGCACTATGATGGTTGTGTTGGACGATAAGTGACCTTTCTCAGGTAGCAAATGCATCTCGTCTGGCTGTGACATGAGCAGTCAGTGACATGAGCACCTTACATGTGTATTGATGGCAACGTTTATGTTCAAGGAAGGTTGTGATTGTACGTCATCGCAGCTCCTGTTCCGTGATATCCTCGCCGTTTGTTGTTTGTATACATTCTCTTATTATCATTTGTGTCTGTTCGCAGCTCGGATGAGCTGGTTTGCGAGGAGCACGGTGTCGTCCACGAGCATCCCTGGACAACATTCTTACACATAGCTACCCGGATAAGTAAGCATTGCGCCGTTTGTAGACAGATCTAGTTTCAGTCGGTAACATTCTCGGGAGTCACCTCAGGGTGATGACAGCGGGAAAGTTCCTACGAAATGCAGGACGGACGTAGGTCTGTTCGACACGTTCATGGATGCTGAGTGTACGCTTGTGGCCTTAATTTGCAGGCAGCGTAGACAAATGTCTTCCTTCTCCTACACTCGTCCGTCTTTGTTCCGGTTCTCTCTCCGCACTCAAGCACCCGTTCGCCGCGTACTCGCACACTTTCAGCTAGGATGTGTATTCAGAATAACGACGCCCGAACGGACCTATTCCGACGCCCTAGTTCCTACTTCCTGCACACGCACTTCCCATGGCCGACTGCACGACTCGCGCAGCACCCACAGGAGCTGCTGCAGTTGCGGCGGGGGTGGGGGTGCAATGGATCCGGCCAGGACCCCATATTATGTCTGCAATGCCTTATAACGATCCGCTGCATGTCCAACATCTGCTCTTGTAAGTTAAATTGTTTTATTTTCTTAAAATTGTTTTCTTTGTCAACCATGGAAAAGTCATTGCAAAAGATGTTAGCAATAACCCTCAGGGTGTTGCTTTTATGAGAGTAACCCTTTCAGCCATGAAATGTTTCAAAGGATGAGATCAGTGTAATCTGTTTTGCATAAAAACGTAAGCATCACTCGGCAACTCAATCCCGTCTTCATGAGGCCAAAATACTCCTTCAGCCAGTACATTTGATAAGCAATGATAACTCATTCTGTTCTCACGTTCCAGGCGAGGCATCGTACGTCAGTTGTCCTCTATGTGACTACATCTACCGAAAGACGTCGATTCTCGAGCACGCGAAATCGGTGCATCGCATCAGCAAACCAGGCGGGACGGAGCGCGACCGCTCCTCGAGGTCCAGCACTCCTGACAGTTCGTCCGTGCCTTCTCGTCGGAACACAAGCGGCCGACGACGCTCTCTCTCCGATGACGACAGCCCCCGTCGATCGCGAGCCTCGAAACGGTCTCGCCTCCACTCGCCGGACGATCGGTCACACCGGCGCGTCGGGCACCACTCCCCGCGGGAGCGGCATGCTCGGTCTACCGACCGCTCTCCCGAGGAGGGCTGGCACCGCCGGGTCAGCAGGCGCTCCTCCTCTCCGGAGAGGGACCGGTCGCCGGAGAGACCTGCGCGGCACCGTGCCATGTCAGAGGAGAGCGTCTTCGGGCCGGCGCCGAGAAGGCAGCGACACCGCTCGGCGTCGGTCGAGAGCACCCGCTTTCCGGAGAGGAGCTCTCGCTATGGCGAACGTGTGTCTCCGAGGGGCTGGCTCTTTGACGGCCCTCCATCACCGAGGAGAGGAACACCATCTTACACGACGCGGTCTCGTCACTCACATGAATGGTCGAAAAGGAGGCATCATGAGTCATCACCAACGGAAAGACGTGCTGAAGGGTCTCTTGATGACGATGGATACGCTTCCCGGCACTGGAAAAGAAACGACTTTCGGAGGCGCAAGTCAAGAGAAGATGGCCGCGACTGCTCTTCGCCGGACGTTCGTCGTGGTGCTGAGGGTTTAAGGAGACCGAGATCCAGAGATGAGAGTCATCGCACCTCTTCGCCGGACAGGGACCTGCGCACTTGTCGTGGTGGTGAGGATTCTCGCCATGGTGGTGATGATTTAAGGAGACCATGTAGAGATGAGAGTCATCGCAGATCATCACCGGACAGGGACCTTCGTGCTCGACGTGGTGGTGAGAATTTAAGGAGACCGAGATCTAGGGATGAGAGTCATCGCAGTTCTTCACCTATCAGGGACTTACGAGCTCGCCTTGGTGGTGGAAACTTAAGACGACGGAGATCGAGAGATGACAATCACCGAGGCTCTTCGCCCACCAGGAACCCACGAATTCGCCGAGGTGCTGGTGACGGCTCAAGGAATCGCTCTAGAAGTCCCGTAGGTCGACCTTCCGGAGCCGAACGTAGAAGACAACGAGACATCGCGCGTGTAGAAATGAAACATCTTACTGATAAGTTGGACTCTCTTCAGGTTGATGAGCAGGTGAAAAAGCATGGGCCGCAGATCAGTAACGTGACCTCAGATGAGCGGACTTCCGGCGGACGGAAAATGTTTCAAAACCTGTTTATGTCAACGGCGGCTAAATTAAGATCGCATCTGGCAGATATCGAATCAGATTCTGCCAAGTCCGATGGCAAGTCTGAAGAGAATAGCACACCTAGCAGCAAGCCTCAGTGCCAGACTCCGTTGCAAAAAGACTCACTGCCAGGGCAGTCGAGCAAAGATACAAACACGGAGGGAAACATTACCAACCCTGCTAAAGAGAGCCCACCCACAGAAGGCGAGGAGCAAGATTCGTGTTCAATGAAGTCGCAGTCCTCCAAAGTCCCGCCATCAGACGTTGTGCAGCCCCCTGTGACTGCTGCAACTTCTCTTCAGAAAACCAGTACACCTAAGATACGGCTGCCGAAGGGATTCAGCAAAGATGAATTGCGAATGATCTTGGCCACTATCAATGCTGCAAACGATACCAAAAAGTCACAGACATCCACAGACACGGCCAACCACGAAAGTGAGCCGCCTGCACCCAAACCGGCGAGTAGTTTTGATGACACCAATCGCAGCTCCGTCAGCAATGACAAGCCGCATCCTGATGAGGAGCAGCTGGCATGTTCAAAGAAAGGTACAAGTGCGCAGGGGAGTACTGCCAACCCTGCTAGAGCAAGCACATTCACAGGAGACGAGGTGCAGGGTTCGCGTTCAGTGACGATGCAGTCGGCCAAAGCTCCGCCATCGGACGTTGAGCAGCTCCATGTAACTTCAAAGACGCCTGACCAGAACAACTCAGTGCCCAGTCACCAAGACAACAACACTAGCTCAAAAGTGGCAGAAAGCTCGAAAGCTGAGTCTACGCCAAATATTCACACCGGGCAAGCTGTCGAGGCTGAGATGGCTATTTCTGAATGTCCAGAACCGCTACACAAGAAATGTTCAACTGTTCCCTCTGTGCCAAAAGTCACCGTCTCGGTTGCAGGTAACTCTAGTTCGCAAGAGGTGGAAACAACAAAGGCACATGACCAATCCAGCAAAGCTGGGGCGCAATCTGAAAGCCATGGTCCGAAGTCTGGGAAGTCCGTTACTGTTCCTACCGGTAAGGAAAATGCCTCGAAACCCGGAGAGCCCTGCCCTAATCCTACCGGTAAGGGTACTGCGAAACCCGGAGAGTCCTGTCCTAATCCTACTGGTAAGGTCATCGCTACGAAACCCGGAGAGTCCTGCCCTAATCCTATCGGTAAGGCCACTACTGCGAAACCCGGAGAGTCCTTTCCTAACTCTACCGGTAAGGTCACTACTACGAAACCCGGAGAGTCCTGTCCTAATCCTTCTGGTAAGGTCACCGCTACGAAACCCGCAGAGTCCTGCCCTAATCCTATCGGTAAGGCCACTACTACGAAACCCGCAGAGTCCTGCCCTAACCCTACCGGTAAGGTCACTGCTATGAACCCCGGAGAGTCCAACCCCAAACCTACCGGTAAGGCCAATGCTGCGAAACCCGGAGAGTCTTGCTCCAGTCCTGCCGGTGAGGCCAATTCCTCGAAACCCGGAGAGTCCTGTCCTGATACTATCGGCAAGGGCGCTGCTACGAAACCCGGAGAGTCCTGCCCCAATCCTATTGGTAAAGCCACTGCTACGAAACCTAGGGGGCCCAACCTTCATCCTATCGGTACGGCCACTGGTAAGAAACACGGAGAGTCCAACCCTAATCCTACTGTTGAGACCACCGCTACGAGACCCGGAGAGTCCTGCCATAATCCTGCCGTTAAGACCGATGCCACGAAACCCGGAGAGGTCTGCCCTAATCCTACTGGTAAGGCCACCGCTACCAAACCCGAGGAGTCCTGTCCTAATCCTTTCGATCAGGGCACTACTATGAAACCCGGGGAGTTCTGCCCTACTCCTACTGATGAGGTCACCGCTACGAAACCCGGAGAATCCGGCCCTAATCCTATCGCTAAGGGCACTGCTACGAAACCCGGAGAGTCATGCCCTAATCCTATCGGTAAGGGCACTACTACGAAAACTGGAGGGCCCAACCCGAATCCTACCGGTAAGGGCGCTGCTACGAAACCTGGAGGGTCCTGTCCTAATCCTAGCGGTAAGACCACCGCTACGAAACCTGGAGAGTCCTGCCCTAAACCTACTGAAAAGGTCACCGCTACGAAACCCGAAGAGTCCTGCCCTAATACTAATGATGAGGCCACCGCTGCGAAACCTGTGGAGTCCAACTCTAATCCAAGCGGTACGGCCACTGGCAAGAAACTCGGAGAGTCCTGCCCTAATCCTACCGTTAAGACCAATGTTACGAAACCCGGAGAATCCTGCCCTAATCCAATCGGTAAGGCCACTGCTACGAAACCCGGAGAGACCTGCCCTAATCCTACTGGTAAGGGCACTACTACGAAACCCAGAGAGTCCTGCCCAAGTCCTGCCGGTGAGGCCAATGCCTCGAAACCCGGAGAGTCCTGCCCTAATCCTACCGGTAAGGGTGCTGTTACGAAACCCGAAGTTTCCTGCCCAAATCCTACTGGTAAGGGCTCTACTACGAAACCCGGAGAGTCTTGCCCTAATCCTAGCGGTAAGGCCACCGCCACGAAACCCGTAGAGTCCTGTCCTAATCGTATCGGTAAGGCCACTGCTATGAAACCTGGGGGGTCCAACCATAATCCTATCAGTACGGCCACTGGTAAGAAACTTGGAGAGTCCTGCCCTAACCCTAACGTTAAGGCCAATGTTACGAAACCCGTAGAGCCTTGCCCTAATCCTACCGGTAAGGGCAGTGACAGGGGCCCAAGACCCAGCGGATCCAGCTCGGATCCCATTGTTCTGGACAGTGACTCGAAACCCAGCGGGACTGCCTGCAAGCCTACAGCAAAGAACGGAAACACTAACTCGAAGCCTGGAGGGTCCAAGCCGTCACCCCAGAAGGCTAAACTACCACCCCTCAAGTGCTCCATGTGTCGCGCCAGATTTCCTACCGTGGAGGTAATGCGAGAGCACCAGAGGCGCTCTTGCCGCGGGCGTTTCGGCGAGGGGCCCGTGATTAATCGGCCGTGGTGCGCCAGCTGCCAGATGCCGATTAAGGTGGGGTGCGTGGGGCGCCACATGTCCCGATGTCGGGTCCAGTGTGCCGCGTGCGGCCAGATCGGCATGCACGCTTGCCGGTTCGCGAACGATATGCCGCCGGCCACGCGGCCGCCGCGCGCTCAGACGCATCCTCTGGGCGCACAGCCGCGGCCCCAAGGCGCACAGCCGCGGCCCCGGGCGCCCTCTGCTGGTGCCAGCTGGTGCCCGCGGTGCGGCCAGTGGGGACACGTCTGCGGTCAGGGGCCCTGGCAGAGGGGCTTCTAGTGTGTGTGTCATGTTCCGGCTTCCGCTCATTGTGAAGCTGCCCGGTGAGAGGCGGAGAGGAACAGGCCGGGGTTCCCGTTGCTGTAAGGTCCTATTGCAGGCTGTGCACCTTGGAGCTTAGTTGTAGATAAATCAGGGTTAGCGATAGCTGTGACATGTGACAATGATGCCTAGGATGACGCTTAGGTATGTGCGTTGACGATCAAGTACCTAGGTGGGTCAATGTTTGTACGTGCTGCATGTGCAATGTTGTTTTTGTTTCCCGTGGAGCGTTCACTTGCCTGAGCTTGCCACTTTGTCAGGACAATATCGTTTTGTGTGCTGAGCATGTTTGTACTTACCTGCGCTGTGCCGTTTTGAACCTACCGTGGTGGCAATTGTGTGGATAAGGAGACCGTGTTTACTGACAATACTGTCGAAATGATGTGCAGAAATTGCTCATTGATTTGTGCTCTGTCCAGTTTCTATGGAGGATGAGATCATGCGTGATGTCGCTCATATCTGATCGTGGAATCGTGTGCTTCCAAAACATGTGCGCTCCACACCTGATAAATGAACTTTGAAATGTGCCCACGGAGATATTAGTGAGCGACTTCTTCACATTGTGTATCGCATTTTTAGTTTTTGAAATAAAAGAAGGGGCTGAAAGTGCGTCGCCTGTGCGGGCTGATATTCTGTATGTTGTGATGCGTTCCGTACCGTTTCATTGTCAGAAGGATGTCAATCAGTGGAGGCTGTCCGTCTTGACGCAAGCTGTCCTGATTTTTGTTTTTCTTAATATGTTGCCTGGCTGCTCGCCGATGGTGTTCGAACACCTGACAGTTGTTCAGTGTGTCCTGCTTCCCTGCTGCATACTGCTGCTAAAGCGATTGACTTAACAGAATAATTGAGGATTCAAAAGGGCACTGAACTGTGCAATGAATCGCCCTCAGCAGGGCACCAATGGTGACCAATAATGGTTTTTGCGTCATGACATTTGCACTCGCTTTCGGCAGCAGTAGACTGGAAGGGGACGCACTGAACAGTCTAGTGTAGCACCGCGTCGACAGAGGGCGTTCTCGTAACGCTGGCTGGAAGCAAATGAGAGCGGGTGTGCCTCTGTGCTTCCAGCCTGCCTTACGAGAACGCCATCTGTAAGCATGACGCAAGTACGCGTTAGGAGAGGTTAGGCTTTTTTGTAGGTTTCTCTGTTGCACTCTGCCGCTACAGCGCCCTCTGAGGCCTCTTGAACATATCGGAAACAACTGATTCCTTATTGTTAAATACTTGTATTTTGCATTGGGCCTATGTGACAGCAAAATTCGCCTATAGGACCTCTCGTATCCAAACTATTTACATTTTGGGTTATTAACAACGAGCGTGACATTTCATTTTCAACCAGCTGCTAGCATTGCACGAAACTTTATTAACATGCTGGGTACGCATTGTGCCTTGATAAAGTACACGACTCAAGCATTTGCGGCCACTCTGAAAGCACTTAAAATATTTATAGTAAAAAAGTTAGTACCCATCATCGTGCGAAACAGTGGAAAGCTGGCATACACTTAATGTTCCCCGAGCATGCGACGTAACTCTGGCAATGCAGCAAACAATGTTTATAATTTTACCAAAAACAAACGCCCAGTGCAGTCTAACAGTGAGCACTCGGCACCTACATCGGCGTATAGGAGCGAGTAACTCCTTACAAAGTACAAAAACAGTGTGTCATCGCTATACCATTAGCCATCACTTGGACACACATTATCCTAGCACCACATGGAAATCGTATCACGCAGCTGACTGCATCTATCTTGCACAAAACCAACGTCAACCAACCCAATCATTTCCATGTCAGTCAGTCTCAGACTGAGGCCGGTGGCATCTAAATGCTCCCCACTGCTGCCGCCAGGTGGCACCTGCGATCCGTTACAGATTGTGGTAGATGTCGCCACTGTAGGATGAGCTGCCGGATCGCAGTATCTCGGGTTCAATGGACACATAAATATTGCGTCTGTTCTGTAACAACGCGATTACACCTACACTGGTGACCAGATGATCTCAACACTGCTGCCTCAGCCCCTGTTCAACTCGCACAACCATTCAACTACCATCCGTGGTCCATGCATTCCGTACCGTACCACCCCGACTCGACTCGGCTGCAGCTCAGCTGCTCAATCGCACTCCAAGCGTAGGTTGAAGACCACCCCAGCTCAGGCTAGCTCCTCTCGGTGCAGACTCTGGCTTTCTGGAATTGAGCTTGGATGACTTGGACTGCCGGGGCTGGCGCCCCTGCATGCTCAGGCCTGGAAGGCTGAGGCCGGCCGGGGCGGCAGCAGCGCCAGCGGCCTGTGGCCGGGGTTCAGCAGACTGTGCTCCACTCCGTGAGCGTACCGGGCTGGGCTGTTGTTGATGTAGCGCGGCACGTAACCCTGCGGCGCAGTGGGGGACAGCACGTCAGATGGTGGACTAAAGTCGTCAGGTGGAGGTTGAGAGAAGAGAGGGGTATACTCATATTTTAGGTCAGAGTCTTCTCGTGGTGGTGGGGAAGGGGACACGTCCTTTGACCCACAAAGCTTTCCGAGCTAGGCACTCGGCAGTGAGCCCTCATACGGCAAATGTCATTGCTGCTCGAATTTCGCGATGCCGGGTATCATTTGCTCGATCAGAGACCTCCACGTCAGCATGCTATACTGTGTTGCAGGTGCTACTTTAGACGGGCTGATGAGCTAGCCCATTGTTTATGTTAACTTGTCTACGCTCCATTATGAATCAACTGGCCATCGGCCAAGCCGCCAAAGACTGAGTTGTCCCCGAAGTGCATGCGATATAGTCATTTTCCGCCTCTCAATACGCTCCTATTCAGGTAGTCCAGAAAGCAACAGCATGGTTTTCAATCCGAGAGAAGATAATGCCCATTCAACGAGCCACCTACCGCCCTGCGCTGTGGGTGGCCTAGCTCCGCTCGTGACCTACCCTGGGGTGCATCAGATGGTGCGGCGGCGGCCGGGCGGGGGGCGGCGGGACGGGCCAGCCTCCGGCGTCCAATCGTTCCTCGCTGCGGCCCCGGGACACGGCGTATCGGTGCGACGGGGCGGCCGGAGCCAGCGAGCCGCGGAAGTGGAGCTCGTGGTGCGAGCGACTCCGCTGGAAGTTCTGCAGTCGCGGCCCGAACCTGCCGGAAAAAGGGGGAAGTTAGAACTGAGGAGGGGTGGGTTGAGGGCTACAGGGTAGGCTATAGCATACAGGTGGCAGACACGCAGTTGTCATGTCATGACGGGACCTCAATGAAGATCACTGGTCACCTGCAGTATAATCCTCTACAAGTCCTCAGCAATCAGCTTGCATCAGGTCGTGTTGTTGAATTTATGCAATGTCACCGTGTCCCAGAGTCGCCGCATCATGAGCAGGTTTCACCGGGGTAGGTCCACCGCCGTCCCATTGATGAATAAAACTCCTCCCGGGGCTATCGTAACAATCAGCATTCCTGCGCGGGCCGTGTTCAAACAGCCCACTCTCGCTGCAGTGAGTTTGTCCGACGGTGTCGGCCGTCACTTTCACTTGCAGATCGTACTCTTCCGACACTTTCGCCGGGTGGTTCATAGCCATCTGAACCCGTCCTCGCCGGGAATGTTAACGGCCGACTATCTTATGTCTGGAAACGATACGATCTACAGACGGCTAACGAACGCCTTTCCGAGACATCGTATCTCTCCGTGAGTCCCTGGCGCCGCCCCGATATCTTCTCCCGTAGTGAAGTTCCTTATTGCGTCACATGGCCACGTAATATCACCCGCGGGTTACGACTTCTTTTCAGTGGAAGATGATTATAATCGGCTGGGACGAGAGGCGACGGCCATTGAAGACCGGTGGTCTGTTGAAGTTCTGAGTAGCCCTATTAAAAGATGACACCGTGCGATAGCCTGATGATTGCGTGCTATACCTTCCGCTTTCTTCAAATTAATGCTTTGTCGATAGGCATCAGACGTGCACGTGCGAACTGCTAGCGAATGTATGTGGTTTATGCAACATTCAAGGACAAGTATGAAGAACTGGGAACAAGGGCCGAACACGGACGCTGGAGGTTGGAGGAATGTGCAATGACGCGTCCCATAATGCTGGGAACACCGACGTCCGGCCATTCATTGTGAGAAATATCCGCACAAGATGTTCCCGTGCGCTAATAAATCGGCAATACATTCCCATACTTAAACCGATACTTTCATAGCCAGCGATAAATGGCGACCGTTCATCAGTTTCGCTCGTGTGGTGACGCCTCTCCCCCTCTCTCTCCCTCTCTCTCCCCCTCCCTTCATCTGTCTCTCATATCTATTCATCTCCCTGACTCTCTCTCTCTCTCTCTCTCTCTCTCTCTCTCTCTCTCTCTCTCTCTCTCTCTCTCTCTCTCTCTCTCTCTCTCTTTCACTCTCTCCGCTCCCATTCCTCTCTCTCTCTCTCTCTCTCTCTCTCTCTCTCTCTCTCTCTCTCTCTCTCTCTCTCTCTCTCTCTCTCTCTCTCTCTCTCTCTATCTCTCTCTCTCTCTCTCTCTCTCTCTCTCTCTCTTCATCCCTCTCCTCTCTCTCTCTCTCTCCCTCTCTCTCTTCATCCCTCTCCCCCTCTCTCTCTCCCTCCCTTCCTCTCTCCGATGTCCTCTCACCTGGCTGCCCTGGAGCTCTCTGCCCCGATCAGACTGGTGGGTGTCCTACAGTTCCTCTCCGGCGGACCGGGAGGCGGCGGACCGGCAGACCCACGGGCGAACGCCCTCCGGTAGTTTCCGTGCGAGATCACGGGATGCGAGGGGTTCACCTCGCGTTGTGACTCGACTGGACCTGATGCGGAGAGGGTAGGGTTAATAACAGAAAACTTTGCGTGTACCCCTTCTACGAGACGGGGCTGGGGGGGGGGGGGGGGCAACAGTTACGCTTCTCAACAGACCGGGCGAAGGGGCACGTATCATAGGTACACAGTTCAGTTACAAATAGAAACCAGGCACTCAAAGGCTAGCCCTATCCAGCAGAGTAAATCGCGACAGCTCGGTTTCCTTGTCAAAAGCATGATGGCTCGAATTCCTTCACGAGTCTGTCGAGTCACTGCGGATGTTAGTGCAAGTAGTAATGTTTGATTCAAACAGCTGTGGAATGCGAAGGAGCCCGAAACTGTAACCCGAATGAATACTAAGCAAGCGAAATATTTAGGGCACCGACCAGCTTCAAGAGGTTCATCCGGAATCACTGCCGTCTGCTTGTTTATTCGTCCTATGATATGACTTGCGGATGACTGACTGACCTGACCAGACCTAAGGACTTGACCTCGACTGACCTGACCTCAACTGACCTGGCCTCACCTGACCTGACCTGGCCTCACCTGACCTGACTTGACCTGCTGACCTGACTTACACTGACCTGCGGGTGACCTGGGCCGCCTGTTGGCCTTGTTTTGCGGCTCGCTGTACACTGAAGTCGGCGTCTTACGACCGCTCTGTCGACTGGGGCTGATCCCGTCCGGCGTGGCCGGGCTCCTGAAAACGGCGTATTTATATTTAAGCCATAAATAATTAAGTGTGGTGCATCAAAAGCAAGACGGCTAGCACTCGAAAAAATATAAAAGAGTGATGTAATGTAAAATCCCACGACAGCAGCACAACGTTCAACCGGGTCTAAGCGAACGTTCCTGTCACCGTTTCCAAAAGGTTCACGTCCATAATTTAGCATTACCCTGTTGCTGTTGGTACGAGTACCCAGTGCTCACCTGGTCCTGTACCGGTACCGCGTCACGGGACTCCTGTAGTCGCGGTACTCCCTCCTCTCCTGGTGGCGATCCGCCAGCTCGTGTGTGAGCCGTTTGGCCGCGCCAGCGGACCGTTTGGGCGGCCCCAGACTAGGTGATGAGTCGTAGCCACTGCTCGGGTGGCGTCCCGCAGAGTCGGAAGGCGAGACGGCCGATGGCCGGTCGCCGCTACACTCGGTCGAACTGCTCGCCTGTGGTGGAGCGAGAATAGTGTGAGACGCTCCATGGTATTGTGGCTTATTCCACAACTGCTCAGTTCATCAGCTCCAGTCAACCGTTTTTAATTTCGTACAGTTATAAACATGAATAAATGCACTGCAATCTTGCGAATTCTAACGAGAAATAGAACTAATGTGAAAACGTGATAAAGTCGTTATCAAGCATATTCTCGAGCAAAATAAAGTATGTGGTAGGGATACGCAGCTTCCGATCACGTCCTTCCAATTTCAGTTATTATCTACATACTCACCAGTCGTTCGGCCGATTTGTGCAGGCGCTGTCTGCCGCCGGCGTCGTGCCCCCAGCGCGGCGACTCGGTCGTATCCCTGCTGGGCCCGAGCTGTCGGTCCGGACTGGACTCGGCCTGGCCCTCTGGCTCCTCTCGGCGCACACGGGCCATGTTCGCCCCGTCCCGCCGTCCCCGCAGCCAGTTTCGAACCCCGGAGAGCAGACGCGGCCGGTCTGATTTGGACGGTTTGGTTACCCTCTCTGCCGGCGGCGGTAGCGGCTGTTCTGGGGGCGGCAGTGAGATGGGGTGCTGGTCGAGCAGCGGCGGAAGGCTGTTGTAGTCGGGCGGGGGACACTCGGGCGGCTCAGAGTCGTCCCAGTAGGGGTCCGCGCGGCCCGGCGCTCCGCCCGCCGGCAGCTGAAACTGCGGCAGCGGCACGCCGCCCACACTGCGCGGACTCGACTGCGCCGACTCCTTGTGCGAGCTAAAGCCACGGTCGCTGTCCGATCCGGAGAAGGTGACATCAGAACTAGTAGGCGGCTCGGCTGGCGCGGTGGCGGCCCGCTCCCCGTCTGACTCCAGCTGGGAGACTCCGAGCCGGTGCCGCTCCACCGACCGGCTCTCCCCTCGCCGCTTCTGCAGGAACTCCCTCTCCACCCTCTGCATCGCCTCCTGCTCCTCCCTGCGCCGCCGCTCCTTCTCCTCCGCCTCTCGGCTCAGTTGTGACTCCAGCTTCTTCTTCTCGATGAGTCGAAGTGTGCTCTGGAAGGCGAACTTGCGCCGGCCGCCGGCGGACGGAGCGTTCCGAGGAGGTTTGTCCGGTGTCCCGCGGTCGGCGCTGGTACCTCGCGAGTCCCACAGACCGGTGATCGGCACATCTCGACCGTGGGGGGAGATGGAGCGACCACGCTCCACGCGCATCGAGTGGTACTCCGGCAGGTACATGACGTGCCGCCCGGTGTCAGAGCGAGACGGAGCGTCGGTTGCGTCACCATCAGCGTTCAGCGAGCTGGGAACGGACCGACTTAGCAACCAGTTTTGGTCGAGGGACACCGTTGGAGACTGAACCGGCTGGTCTGAGCTCGTCTTTGACGACCGATCGGCAGTCGCTGCGCCGACGGTGGCACCAGTTCCGCTTCGAGCGTCGCCAGTCCGAGGTCGTTCTGGGGTACTGAACATGCCTCCGCGGGATGTTAGCTTCGGGAGAGTGCCCTGACTGGCCTCGGCGGCTGTTATTGAGGCGTCGTCTCCGCTGCTGGCTTCCTCCAGGTCCTGCGCGGGCGTCCAGCAGCGTGGCTGTGCCGGTGACGGTGAGGAGGCTGCCAGGGGCACCTCAGCTCCACTGCTGGTGGTGGTATCAGCCCTCGTGACGGCTGACGCGTGCGGGGAAGGTGGGGGAGGCGGGCTGCCGGCGTCCCCACCGATTCCCGAGTCGGCCGACTGGGCGATGGGTCGGTGTCGACAGAGCTGCTCCCTCAGCGGCTGCTTGGTCAGCGGCTCCTCCCGCCACTCTCTCCTCTCTGTCTCGTCCAGATGGAGACTCTTCCAGGCGGCCAGCGGCGAGAATCGCGGCATCTGCTGCTGCTTCTTGGGCAGCGACGGCCGCAGGTGCATCGAGATGGACTCCGTACCGAGCTGCAGCTCACAGTCGAATACGGACGACTGGGAGCGGTAGCTGCGAGCCGGAGAGTGGGTCAGGATCTCGTCTCGGCTGACCGACAGCTGGCGACGCTTGCTGCGCTCCAGTGTGCTCATAAAGTCATTCAGCTTCTGTGTGGGAATGCGCTGCAGGTTGACCGCCTTAGCGGCATTCGACTCGCCGCTCGCGGTGGACCGACTGGCCGAACCGCTCCGGTGCTCGGTCGGCCTGCGGTAACTCACCCGAGCTCCAGTGATGCTGACTTCTTCATTGTGTTTGACTTTAGTCAGGGCGGATATTCTACCTTCCTGAGGCACAATTTTATCTGTAGGAGCGGCGGCAGCGTTCTCCATTCCGAAGAAGACTAACTTCGGTTTGTTTTCTTCACCGCCTACCTGAATATCATTTGCAGCAACGGTAATCTTAATTCGGTGGTCATCCTTATCACGTCCTCCCTCGTCATTGAAGTCACGCGCAGAACTGTCCATATTCTTCCACGATTGCCGTAGCGCTTGTCGTCTTTCCTCGCGGTCGAATACCGCCTGAAGCGCTCCTTCACTGCGGCTTGTGGCTCGGGATTCATCCAGCTCACTGTGGTACTGCATCACTGATTTTGACCTTTCTTGCGGAATCTCTCGTTCAGCGCTTCTCCTCGGCAGGCTACTGGTCCTTCCCCTGTCCTCGCCGTCCCTTTCCACACTCTCCCCTCTGTGTCGCAGCGCTCCCTGCAGGCAGTCCACGCTCTTGGCCCTCGCCCGTCCACCGCTCTCCCCGTCTCCTCCAGCCGAGCTCCGGTCCTCTGAGACTGCTCTGATGGCTGGGGGAGGGCGCACCCCCGCCGGGCGCCGGTGGGCGTTAGGACGGAACAGGCGGCGCCGCGACGACCCGGCCGGCGCCTGAGGCTGTTCACAGGTCGGCAGAGGTGGCGGCGGCTCACCGGGCGGCGGCGGTAGGGTCAGTTCGGGCGGCGGCGGCGCACGCATCTTGCGGCCTCCCGGAGAGACGCGGCCGCGTGCGAGCTTCCTGCGAGACCGCACAGGTCCGCCGACCTCACGGAGGTCGGGTTCGCTGCCGTGGGCCCTCATAATTTCCTCATCCTCGTCTTCCTCTCGGAGGAGGCTGCTCTGACTGCGCCCCTGAGGCGCGGACCTGGAACAGAGGACTCTGTCACATTTCTGCCGTGGAGCGCTCGTGAAGCTGTCTTATAGCTTTGAGCGGACATCCGCCTGTGGTCCGGGAAGCAGCTAACTACGCTGTGCGCAGCCCAGCGTAAACGACAGCCCAGTATTATCACCGGTCGTGACTGACAGACTCGCTCGATCCGCGCTCGTGTCGGGACGTGCGACCGCGCCGCGGTCGAGACGTGAGCCGAGAAGTGCTCTGGGGCGCGCGCCGGCCGCAGCTCTCACGATCGGGGGGTAATCGAGCGTGACACCGTCGACATGGACCGCCCACGACCTGCCGACGATAGAGACCGCATTATAACGCTCGGGCGGCGACAGCTCGACCGTAACGACCTGCCGCTGATAGCCCACAGGCGGAGGTGGAGTGGAGGCGGCGCGGCTTTTACAACAGGATCGGTACACACGACGCGGCGAACGCTCAGCTTGTAGCTTGGTCTATTTAATTCAGCATAATTATGAGCAATCAAGATATGCGTACCAGTCATGTATGTATGAAGTCCCTGAACATAAAAGGTCAACATAACTTCATAGTGGGCAAATAGTGTCCTCTTATATCTCTGGCATGTATGTGTGTGATAACAACTATATACAAACATCTCATTGAAAAAGGCACGGTGACTATAAGAAAAAGGAAGTTACTCAATAAATGCATCGCAAACATATCAGCTACCCGAAATACGCAGGGGTATAATGTGACGGTCGGAGGAAACCCCTTCAACCAGAACCGAGCCGTGATTGAGACGTTACCGCGCCGGAAGTGTCGCCGGCGGCTGTTCCGGCGCGCGTCACGTCACAGTCCAAGGTGACTGTGCCGTGACGGCTGCGGCGTCACGCTGGCTTGGTGATGGAGGGCCGGAAGATCACCCTATCCAGCGCCGGTCGGTGGCCGGGGTTAGTGACGGAGGGTGTTATTAATACGGGTCGCGAATTGAATGGCTTGCAGACACTTTTAATTTTGCTTTAAATGTGGATGTTTCGGTGGTTGTGGATGCGATTGTTTATTTCTAGAGACGTTTAGGTGAAGCAGTTCAAAAGATCCGAAAGCTGAGTTTTTCTAATGCTTGTTTCTGTATGCTTTCGCCCGGTCAAATATGTTTGGCCATTATGTCCCAGTAAATGGTAGCCAATTACCCATTCTATCTATACACGAGAGACCTTGTTAAAGACTAATGAGACTATCGACTAGGGAGATGGGGCGGCCCTCGTGATTTCTTGAGAAAACGCTTCATTAAGTCCCTTTTGGCAGGTAGACCAATTAATCTGTGCGCGTGTCTAGAGAGCAATGCATTATTCATCGAACGTCTCTATTCACTTTCTCTGGAGCTGGTGATCCGAGACGGGCTCATGTGACGCCCTGCTGGATTTCGCGTCCATGTTTTACTGTCAGGTATCCTGCTGAGTCGTAATGGTTGAGAGACTCATGATCGCCACAGGGGCGGACAGTCAGTTTCTTCTGCAAAGCGTCAGGTTCAGCTAAGCTCTGCACAGGTTATGGCCCCATCGCATGCGACTAACAAGATGACGTTTTATGTAGTGGGTGGCAAGCTAGTGAAATTTCACTCTCGCTCTGGTGACGTGGCGGAATATTCCTCCGGAGATACCCTTGCAGAAGTGGGCTGTCATCCATGGGCTCTCAGTGCTTTGCGCTTCACTGACCTTTAATGGCGGGGTCCTGAGCAGACGCTTTCGTCTCGTGCTGCAAGACAATGTCACAGCGCCATCCAGTACTAACTCCACCAGCGCCAATTCTATGCCCTCTCCGTATTTGCTGAATGGTGTTATTTGCGCACAATCAACGCAATCAAAATTTGCTAACAGTGATGGTACACGCGCATCCTTGGTTGCAGTTCCAATATTCGATTTCTCTTACAGACCAAATTCACAGCCTCATTGACGCAATGTTATAGACACAGGCTTCAACGCAGGCGTGTCCGCTTTTGTGTATAACGGTGTTATATATAACACCGTTATACACAAAAGCGGAGGCACATGCTTGGCTGCAGTCTCCATATTCATTGGAATTGGTGTTATATGCATATGCTCAACTGCAGTCTCCGTGATGATTGGCTACATGGCGTTATAAGCGTATGCTCAAATACAGTCGTCATGAGATGACGCTGGTGTTATGGGCACATGATCAACTGCAGTCTCCGCATTAGATGATGCTGGTGTTATGAGCACACTGCAGGCTCCGTGCTTACTATTGTTATAGGCACTGCCGCATTGCAGTTTCCATATTCGTTGATACTGGTGTCATAGGGTCAAATTCCATTGCAGCTCCATATTGGTTGGCTGGTGTTATAGGTGCATGCCCAACTGCAGTCTCCGTGATAGGCGCATCTTAGACTACAGTCTCCATTCAATTCAGTGTTATAGGCACACACTGTAGTGCAGTCTCCGCTTTTGTTGGCATTGGTGTTATAGGCGCGTGTCGCCCTGCAGTCTCCAAGCTGACAGCAGTGTTATAGAAGTGTGGTGCGCTGCAGTCTCCCGTGATTTGTGTTATCATCCGGTACGCTATCGCAGTCGCCGATTGTCAGGTAGGAAGGAATGCTTCTCACTTATGCGTGGTTCACACCGGATCCGTAATGACCGTTACGTTCCGTAATGAATACGGTGGCGATTAAAAAATATCTCGAAAGTGGAGGGCACAATGCAACGCGCATGCGTAGTTCGATTTTTTGACGCCGTAACGCCGTAATGGTTACGGATTCGGTGTGCACCGGGAATTGCCATCGCTGAGCGTCACCGTTCGAAGCAAGTGCGCCAAAACTCTATTTTGTTTATAGGCAAGCGGAAAATGGACTAAAGCCAAGAGCTGTTTTTAATATTGAAGCGCCAGAATGTAGACTTGTTTTACTCTCTTCCTTTTAATTTGTTAATTTTGCTCTGACAGCGGTCTGCAATTGTATCGAGTCATATCATTGTTAATTAAACGCCGATGGGCAGAACATTGGACGGAGACTCTTGCATTATTTCTTGCATTACAAGAGGGCATGTCTATGCCCGTCAACGCTGAAGTTTATTTCTTACATTCTTTGCTATTCGTGGATGATGGGAATACCAACGGACGCCAGAATCTGGATTGTATACCATTTGCTCGATTGGCTTGCCAAGAGTCAATGTGGATTCAAACGTCTGCCAATATATACAAGTCCAAGTATCAAATTTAGCAAGTAGCAGAGGCAATATGGCCGGTGATGTTTACTCAGAACTCCATGAAACTCAGAACTCAGAACTCCACAAACAAGATACAAAGTAAGCCGTGAACGTTACACGCTGAGGGCATGCTCACAAGAAATAATAATTATTGGCAGGTTGATTCGAGCTAAGGTAAAAGGCCAAAGGGTCTGCACGTGCGCACGAGCAGACCGCTGCTCTCGTCAACATTTGGAAGCTTCACAATCGCTCGGCGATACCTTGGCTTAATCTACCAAAGATGCAATCCCAAGCAATCGGAACATGCCATTAAAAAGGGAAAGCACGCGCACGTGTGCAGACCAATACGCTCGCTGACCTGTGGAGTCTTCTAATATGCATAGTGTTATTCAGCATACTTAATATAAGCTCTATCGGACCAGCTGATCTGCGGTTATGGAAAAAGGGTGCGCACGTGCGCACGTGCTAGCCTATACCCTCGCTGACCAGTACAAGCTGCAGGTCAGCATGGTGTCATTCGGCATGCTTAATATGAGCGTTATCGGCCCAGCGGATCCCGAGATATGGATAAGGGGTACGCACGTGCGCACGTGCAAATCAATGTCTTTGCCAACCCGTGCAATCTGCTTATGAACATGGTGTTATTCAGCATACAAAATATGAGCGCTATCGGCCCAGCCGATCCACAGATATGAAAAAGGGGTACGCACGTGCGCACGTGCAAATCAATGTCTTTGCCAGCCCGTGCAATATGCTTAAAAACATAGTGTTTTTCACCATACTTAATATGAGCGCTATCGGACCATCCGATCCCCACATGCTAAAAAGTGCATGCACGTGCGCACGTGCATGCACAGGTCTTTGCCAACCTGTGCAATATTCATATTTACATGGTGTCCTCTAGCATACAAAATATGAGCGCTATCGCCCCAGCAGATCCCGAGATATTAAAAAGGGGTGTGCACGTGCGCACGCGCTGAAGAAATTCAAAACCGTTCAAAGGTCACCGGATGTGTAGTGTGCACCCAGCCAAAACAACAAACAAATTTTGAGCTGTATCGCTTCAGCCGTTCCCGAGTTATGAAATGACGAGCTCTTCTGGAACCTCTCACGTCGCACGTGCCACGTGCTGTAACAGGCACTCATGACTTTTATGGATAGCACAGTTCCATGAAGAAAAGATATATCCCCTCTCCAAAGAAGACCGCTCATCAAACAGTCAAACCGTTTTGGAGATACATGTCAACAAAAGTCATTACGGCGGCCGGTCGGGCCGAAAAGTTCAATTTTCCCAACTTCTGTTACGTTCCGTAACGAGTACGGTGGACGCTGCCAGTTTACGGCGGCTGGTTGCCAAATTTCAACTTCGTCTAGAAAAGTCGCAATGCTTGGGGAATCTTGAGAAATGTCTTGCTCATTACGGCCGTAACGGTTACGGCGTCATTACGGATCCGGTGTGAACCACGCATTAGTGTGTGGTAGTGTTTGGCGTCAAATGCTCAACCGTGCAGACATTACGCAGTTATAAACGTCATAATAAGTTCGGGAACGATTCATTCACTGAACTGCATGAACGACACCACCGCGAACCACACAGAAAGGACCTAACCGGGTCAGCAGATTCCAAGATCTCACCTCCACAAGATAATCCACCTCGCAGTCCAGGATAACCCGTCTGATACTTGGGCTAAGTCGCCAATTACCATGGCTAGCCCACCTTTGACCAAAGCTAACCCGTTTTCCACCCTGGCTAATCCTGCCTGCACATCAATCCAACATCGAACTGTACCCGCTACATTCAGCTCCACACGCCGCTATCTCTCTACCACAATGTCCGTATCGCCACTGCATTATTCTCACACATCGCAGCCATCGACAGCTCTATCACTGTAGTTACCATCCATGTTACCGCGGCCCCAGCTATGGCCTGCCGCGGTCTCGCCCGATCGCCGCCGCCACGACCGGCCGACCTGCGTTTGCCGGCGGCGTGACTCGTCCCGCCCTAGCCCGCAGACAGTTCGGTAGAGTTCAAAGCGCTCCACCCCGGCCCGACTCGGCCCACACATACGGGCAAAGGCCGGGCCGGGCGCCATGCCAGGCCGCAGCGCTCGGCCAGCGACCGGTGCGCTGTCGATGGGTAGCGTTGGCGGTGAGGTTGTCGGAAGTGGCTGCCGCTTTTACGGTGGATTTACAACAGCGGTAGATGAAGCAATGTGTAATGTCCGCTATCGATGATATCGCATAATCTCTTGCTCAATGTAGGCGCAACAGTGGTTTTCCAGGAAGAGTACACGTGATCAGTCATCTCAGCACTGCCACCTGTCCCTAACCATTGACCGTCCACCAGCCGGCATGGGTAGCGTTACGGGACCTCAGTGACCGGTCCCGGTCCTCCGCTACTCAGCAGTCTGAGCACGTTTGTCATCCATTGACAGCCGGTCGGAGCGTGCGTCCGTCCCTCTCCGCGAGCCATCCCGGCCTGTCCGACCCGTCCCGTTCTGTTTCACAACTTAACGGATCGCCCGGCCGTCGCCACCTCATCTCGCATTAATTTACATGATGTTGGAAAAACCCTACTCACTCACGCCTCCCCACACACAGAAGACTATTTATCATATTTTTCTGCTTTTTATCGTGGTGTGAGCCGATGCGAACCAAAGCGTAGAGGGGGTGTTAATTCACAATAACCTGACACAATTCGTTGCCGCGAGCACTAAATCGGGCCGTTCTAAGGTGCATTAGACACAGGGCGGGCGCGGGTGACGCGTCACCTCCGGGTTACCGCCGCACTGTGGGGACTTCGCCCCTCCTAGCACGACTTTACTCATGCGGCGGTACACCGCAGTCAGCTGACCGCCGCGGCGCCGGGCAGCGCGGCGGAGCGCTGGGAGCCACGCGACATCTTCTGCTTTGATGTCTCGTAGTAGCTGTTTGGGCAAAATTGGGCAAAAGATAAGAGTTGAATCCAATGCAGAATTTATGGGAGAATATTTTGATATGTGTTTCCACACGTAACCCCTGCGGCGGTACACCGCAGTCAGCTGACCGCCGCGGCGCCGGGCAGCGCGGCAGAGCGCTGGGAGCCACACGACATCATCTGCTTTGATGTCTCGTAGTAGCTGTTTGGGCAAAATTGGGCAAAAGATAAGAGTTGATTCCAATGCAGAATTTTTGGGAGAATATTTTGATATGTGTTTCCACACGTAACACCGCGTAACTCACTTTGTAAGGCTATGATTTGCCGAGTCAAATCTCCGAGACAAGTGGCATAGAAACATTTTTGCATTTCATTCAAAAATCATACCTTTGGATTGTTTTTCGAACTTTTTATGCATATGCTCGTCTTCCTCGTTAAATACAGATTGTAAAAACATGTCGCAACATCGAATTGGTGCTTGATTAAACGAGTGAGCAGGCGTTCCGTTGTCAAGTAATTTTTCGCCTTATCCTAGGAGCACGGTGCTAGTCAGCGCAACCCTTCACTTTGTGACGTATTTTGATGTATAAGTCATCATCTTTAAAGCGATTTAAGGTCGGATTCGGATACACTGAACAATTCTGCATAGAAAGCATATAAAGAAAGTGGAAATCAAAATACTCGTATTTGCCACTTATGTCGTGCTAGGATCGCAAAAGTCCCCACGGTGCGCCGGTCAGAGGTCAAAGGTCAGGGGTCAGGAGTCAGACTCACCTCTGCAGGTCGCCGGTAGGTCGCGCACCGGACGCGGCCACGCCCTCGCTCGGCAGACTGGCTGATATACGCAGCTTCTGACCGGGCACGCGGTCGGGCAGCACCTGGAAACGAAGAACGTGCGCGATCAGAACGAGCGATATTCACCAACCTATACAATCCGAGCCAGTCCAAGCTATGTCAAACGCTTTTACAGGCTACAGGTCACTGCGCCATCACATTTCTGACGTGAGTATCGCACTACGACACTCGTCAAGAACTTGGACAGAATGGTTTCCTCTCAGGGATGCCTGGGAAAGTCAGATGCTAATAAGTCATTACGTATGTGGACTAAGAGCACAATACACATTCAGCCGGCCGCCTAATGGTGCAGTCTTTTGTGTCGCCGTGCCATTAAGCTCGGCATTCACCTCAGTACGACTCTAATTCAGCTCCATCGCTCTGGGAGTTCAACCGTCGCGACTCATGGATAGCATCCGTCCCCAAATGTCAGGTCGGCTAGGCTTATGAGCAGAAGCCGTCTCCCAATAAGGAAACCGACTGCGGTCGCACAATTGGGTCCGGCGGCGCACCGCACGACTCGGTCACAAACAGGTGTCGCCGCCAGCGCGGAAGGAATGCGGCTGTTCCGCGCGGAATCCGCCCAGACCGCACCGCTGACCGACTGAGGGACCGGAGAACCGGACAGACGAGCCGGAGCTGACAGAGGGGCCCAACCGGCCGGATACGGCATTAGAAACCTATTGAGCGGTGCGGGCGAGCCGGCAGCGGATGCGCTTCTGCAGGCTTAGCGGTTGGCCGGTCGTGTTGTCAAACCTTCATGCGAAGGATTTGGTGTGAATTTGAAAGTTGCTATGAAGCCGATCCGCGCTGAGCTGACCGGGCCGACCGGACGCCGGCTCTGTGCGGGGTCAGAGGTGACGGTGGACATCCCGTGTGACGGGGTCACTCACATGACCTGCTGACGCCGAGCGGTGACCTGCTGAATGGGACCGGACGGCTGGCCGGCGGCAGCTCCGGTGGCAGCCCGGCCGGCAGCCTCGGTGGCCAGCCGGCTAGTTTGGGTGGTCCAAGGAGCGGTTAGGGTCATCTGTCTGATCCTCCCGTGGAGAGTTGATAACCGTCGATGGGAGGCGCGGCCGTCTGGATTAGGGAGCCAGGAGGGCGGCTACCCGGCCGTTACCGGATAATAATAGGACGCTCACTTCTGTTTTGGACCGGTTGTCTCACGCTGGATTTAGAGGAGCGTGTGAGGCACTCGCGTGACATACTTAGAACGGCCTGTGTGAGAAAGCTGTTTCCAAAATACTAAAATTTTCATGCCAGCAACATGAGGATACTGGTAACCATGATGCAAACATTTATTATTTATAATCAGGACCATTTGATTTGAGCGCCGACGTAACTAAGAAGCCACGGCTTTTTAGTTGTGTTGTTGTTTTAATTTAATTCTAAGTTAGAATATCAAACGTTATTTTTGCTTCTGAGATGATGAAGTCGACTTTGCGGGATTATGTATTAAAGACGCCAATCAAGATAAATTAAGCGATTAGAAAAGAATATTTAAAAGAAAAACATTTAGGAGGAAAAGGTGGAACATCACAAGTAACTTATCAATTAAACATGTTATCGAACGTTCCCGTGGGGTCAACTGACGCAGCATTCACGTCAGGCTTCATACATATTAATCGATCGACTATCGTGCCCCGTTGCCCGTATACCGTCTATATGCAAACACCCGCACGAAACGTGACCGCATTTGAACAATGCATAATGGCGGCGCGGGCCTGCAGTCCGGGGTGTGGGATCACAAGCACAGGGCGTGGCGCAACAGCCGATCATCGCAGCTGGATGTCATTAATGTTGTTTTCTCGCTATCAATGATTACCGACCATTCAAGGCAAACGGCTCATTACGCTCCTCCCACCAAACGCCCAACGCATAGTGGTTATGACACTGCGTTCAATGCGCTGTCGGTGGCATGCCGCTAGCCTCTAGATGTCTGGCGTAGCTCGAAGGCTGGAACGTTGTATGTCATTCATTGCATTATTGGCAGACAGGCGGACAATTTTACATTCGTGTGGCTTGTTTTGCCACTTTGCGACGCGGTTACCACCTCGTAAGTGGTGTCAGCAAAGGCGTGCTTTCTATCATATTATCTGCGGCTCTGTCTCTATCGTATCTCTATACATCGGCGGCTGCTGGATCTTGATACGCGCTGTTTTTGTACGTCCGCGTTTCGTAACGTGAAGGGTGAGCCACATGGAATGATGTTGTCATCACTTTACGAACGTGGCCCACAGTGTACCGTCACTGCCACCGTGAGGGTCTACTGTTGGACAGGTGCTAACGTAACCTAAAAAGACAGACTCACTTTTAAGAAACGCTTGAATCTTGTCAGCTGAAGTCTCTACATAGATGAGAAATTGTATGCCTGTTGGGTTGGCTAACTTTGACACAGCTGGGATGCTGCACAGTGCGAATAGAAAATGTGTGGCTTCAGTTCCCTAAATTTTGGGAGAACGACAACGGTTGAAGTTCTTATTTTCCCGATATGAAGCATGAGACTTTTCTCACCTGGTGATTTTCCAAGTCTTTCCTTATATGCTTTCACCAACTACCGAGTAGTTATCTCTCAGCACTCACCTTCACTGCCGGCTGGAGCGCCGGCGTCTTTCCATAGCCGAGCAGACGACCGGCGGTCCTCTCCTTCGGGATGGTCCGGGACCATCCTGGACCGAGCTCAGTGGCCGACTGCGAGTGGTGGTTTCCCATCGGACCGTGTCGGCGGTGACACCTGTCGAAAGGGGACATTTGTCAGTGAGTGCTACTAGGACGCGACAGTTAACTCATGCAATATGCATACGGCACACGAGGTTACTGATCAAGGCAGTGGAATCATCAGCTGTCCGAAACAATGTGTCATGAAGTACAGAATCGCTGCGGATATAACCAGGTGAGGACTGGACAATCAAGATGGTCTTCACAGACCAGATGATATTGAGACAACAGCTGCAAGTGCACAGCCAGGTAAACTTGTTAATTTCAACCAACACGGGACTTGCAAACCGTGAACGTCTATTTAGCAACTAGCTGTTGCGATAGTTCCCTACCCATTCGGACAGGTATATTATCATGAGCCAGGGAATTCCTTCATCCCTAAGGCGACTCCCTCTCACCAAACCCAGTGTGTAAAAGTGCAATCCTAACCACTATTGCAGAGTGGATGGTACCGCAAAGCATGCTTTCACGTTCTCTTTAGACGGTGTCGGACGCTGTCCGCGCCTGGTACTCCTTCTCTCGGCCATCGCCCGAAGTCCATTCACACGGATGGTGTCACCTCGGATGACAGCCCTCCTCTGGGCCACACCCCCACCACCATTGTGAAAGAGCCATCCCGGCCGGCACCAGACCAAAATGACCACAAATGTACCGCTGGCCGTGCGATCGTCACTTAATACAGGGCGGTCTGGACGGTCGCGGTGGGTCCAATTTGGTCCGATGACGCCCTAATGGCGTGATGACGCCCATCTGATGACGAGATGACGCCGTGCGGTGACGATTTGCGGTGAGAGAAGAGGCATTGAATAATAGTGTGTAGTCAAGACGAAAATTTTACCTCGCTAAACCAGACCAGAGCAAAAAAGGCACAAAAGAATTGTTTATCGCCAACCGCGGATGGTGGCACAGAGTTCACGGTACTGAAAAGGCACGAGTCCAGAAATGACCTAGGCTTCCATTTTTATGTGGAGTCATTGTTGTTTCTCACGTTTCACGTCATGATAGGCCTTTCAATGACAATGAAATGACAATGCAGAGAGCAGTGTCGTCTATATCACTATATAGTTTGGATTGCATTTGCTGTCAGAGAAAGCATTTCTCTTCGCTCCTTGAGACCACTAGGGAAACCATTAGTAGGTTCGGTATATAACTGAATCTCTCGTAAAAGACACAGGGAGATCGAGTTCCAGTGGCTGAATTTCCCATGTATCGAAGATACAGCTGCATTTCCCATGCATCGAAGACGTCTCTGCATGTGTTGACCACTGTCCCAGATTCCCGTGTGCAAGTTCTTGGATTTCACCCTGGTATTGCTGACCTCTTCTACTCTCTCCGAGCATCCATCGATGCCATTCACAGGTGTTTGGTGACCATTGGTTCGACCGGTGACATTTGGGTGTCTTCTCCACTCTCCACTGTCGTCTGATTATCGCCAATGCGCGGTCAGACGGCACGGGCCGTGCAGCTGACGCTGGGAGAGGCTGTCGGTCAAGGCTGAACGGCTCTCAGCAACTCATCAGGCGGGCTTGTTCTCTGCCATTCGATGGGTCGGGACAACGAACAAGTGGATTTGTTCTGTGCAGTTCGGCTGAATGTTTCACGAGCACATGTCTGACTGTCATGATGTCAAAACACATGATGTCTGTCTGTGCTCGCTGGCGGGAACCTAACTGGTCTGACAGTTTGATAGGGCATAGAACTTCAGACTTCGGTATTATGCTACATGCTGATTGTTGGTTCATCAGACTCGTTGGGCCGGGGCCCACAGACTAGCGACTCTGCGCGGAGCACGGCTGGAGCTTCGTGGCAATAAAAGCTGCGGAAGACGGCGCGGTTGTGGTCGCGGCTCCGACAGACCCGTTTTCAGGTCACAGTGCTCTGTGGTGAGTACCAGGGCGTGAGAGGTCGGCGAAGGCGGTACTTTGAACTGTGTGGTTATATCAGTGCTCTGGATCACGTTTTATATCGGTCATTTGTTCAGTAAAATGTAAATTATCATTATTCAGGCCTGGAGCTGGCTCATCACAGCGATTTCACAGCGGATGTGTCATTTGCGAGATGGAAGCGAGGCATGTTATAAATAAGGTATAATGAATATCAAATAGTGTAAACAACCACAGAGGAAACGGTACTTTTTTAGTTCGCCTCGCATTCAGATTAAACATTTAATCAATTTAGGAAATTTTGCACCATGTCACATTGATTTATTAGTCGTAATGTACCGTGCTTTTAGGTTTGATTTGTTTGTTTTCACATCTTTTTCGGTTATAACCGTCTTAGTAACCATCCATCAGCTCATCAGCAGCGCTCAATAACCATCGGTTACTAGATAGCCTAGAGTCATGGGAACATGGATATAGGTTTAGCCAACACAGTCACAGGCTTGTCAATAGGTGATTGACAACCACTTGCCAATGTTCAAATTTAAGGTGTGTGAAATATGAGCCAATCGTTCACCGCCCGACTATGTGCGCCCATGTGTTGGCCAATCGCGGACTGTGTGTTCCTGAATTGGGCAGTGAATTGCGTAAGGGGTGACAGGAAAGGTTACCTGTTTGGAGAGGAGCTAAGCGGCCGGGTGTCGTAACGCTATCGACACTGTATATCCAATGAGAATATCGAGACGCCCGGGGCTTTAAAGGTGTGTCTGGTGACATGGGTGGAATATTTCGGTTGTGGAATGAGGAATCATCGATGCAGCCGTCTCATGCAAACGGTATTCTTGGGGTTTGGAGAGAAACGGCGCCACTAGTTTTGTCTCGAAATGTTTTTGATCCTAGCATTCTTTGACATTCTATGCTTGGCATTCCAGCTTTTTTCCAGCTGCAGGGCCCTGCAGTGGTCTCGGCTTCGATTCGGCTCGTTAATTTGGATCGCTCTAATTGACAATGGGCAAAACTGCGTCAATCTCTAAACGGAGCCGATCAATTATTCCCAAACAGAAAAAAGCGTCAAAACAAGTTTCGAACGAGAGATTCAGGGGTTTTGAAACCAGTGTTAGGTATTCGACAGTCTGTAGACAAATACGGCCGTGTCTACTCTGCCCGGCCTCCGCCGTCTGCACGCAGCGGCTCACGTGCGGCCGTGTTCTGCGCCGCTGCGGTCCGGCGCCGGTCGGCGGCCGAGGCCGGTTTTTACCGCAGCTAGGTAAACACGGGGTACGCCGCGCTGGATCCCGCCTGCACCGGCTCACACCCCGTCCGAGCAGCCTGCAGCGACCGCCACTTTCACGGTGACTTGTCCCGATAATGATTTACTGGCGATAATCTTCACGTCAACAGTTAACCGGACCGCCAGCGCTTCCGAGCTTTATGGGAAGGAGGGAAGATGTGGCCAGAACTGGAAGCCAAATCTGCAATCCCGCTATAGCGGCGCATGGTAATTCTGGGAAAACACGTTGTCTTGTTTGTGGTAAAAATTAACTCACAGGCAATTCCTGAGATCTAATGCCAGTTATAGTTTCGTTCAGTGGGTTGGGTGGGGCTGATCACGGTAGTAAACAAGTAACGCGCCGGTCAAATAAGTTTGGGAACACCCTCGACCATGTATTCCAGGAAATCCTTGTGAGATAAACTACATTAAAAATACCCAGTAGATATAATGTCTTGTGCAGGCAAGGCCAATGACTGTGGTAGTTGATGCTCAATGGTATCCCGCACTCAGTTTGTACTCATACAGTTTCAATAAGAACGCCACAACCCAAAGTATAGTGTTTACCTGAGTCGCCTTGCGCGACTGTGCGTTCCGCTTCAGAGACCGAAGGGAATCAGTCTCACCGGGTGAGCTCGGGGGTTGTCGGCCCCGGCTCCTCCACTGAGCAGCGCGGCAGGTGCACCGGCTCATGAGTTGCGCCACGCGCCGGAACGGGGCCCGGGCGGCAATCAAACTCAGCCGGGTATGAAGACGCCGAGAGGGCGGGGTCAGGGGGCGATGCACCGACCGGCAAATGCTAGCGGGCGGGCCAGAAACGGAGACAGGGAGACGCAGAGACATGAGTGGAGGGAGAGACGGAGGGAAAATACTGGGACAGGGCAAAGAGAATTGGAAGATCATGATGGACGCGGAGATGGCGACTAATAATGTTGGCGAAAACAGGGGATTAAACTTTTTTTCACGCGAATGCGGTTAAGGCACTGCCACTAACGACAGCTTTTCGGCTTACTTTGAGAGAGCAGTATAGCCCAGAAGCTCTTTATAACAAGCATCTGAAGTAAGCTCACATGAGCAGTGAAACAATTTCGTGAGTCTGCACAATCCCGGAAGACCACCACAACTCGTCCTACTGTTTTCAGAACACGGCGACCGTCACGACTGCCGAGCCAGCTCAGCGCTGAGCTCCCGGCCGTCTCCCTGGCCGCCGTGTGTCCCTTGCCGCTCAGCGTGCGAGTTGAGTGGCCCGTGACAGCTGTCGGGGCCGACAGACACCTGTCAGACGCCTATCTGTTCTTCCATTCCCTCTATCCATGCAGGTGGCGGCGGCGGCGCCGCTCTGCGGCCGGTCCCGCGGCAGTAACCGGGACTTTGACCCGCCGCGCCGCTGCGCCGCCGCCGCCGCCGCTCGCCGCCGCCGCCGCCGCCGCCGCCGCCGCCGCCGCCGCTCGCTGCCGCTCGCCGCCGCAGGCCCGGTGGTCTGCGGTCGGTGCAGTTGCCAAATGCGATGGCCGGAAGCTGCTTCATGTGCGCTGAGGCGAAAACGAACTCCCTGAGGGAAGGCTGAATGCACAAAAATAGAATTCTCGTAGAGCGATAAGCGTTGATTCGCAAATTCTCAGTGGAACGTAACCGCGGCCGAGTGTCTCCTATTTTAACGATTTCTGGCACCATTTTCACATTTTTGTGAAGTTAGAAAGTAACTGCCACGTCAGTTAGGTATATGAATGAGGGTTAACGCTAAGAAGCAATGCGCTCAGTAGCGGCGGAACACCCTCAATTAAGGGGGGGGGGGGGGCACTGCCGACTTTTGGTCCCATTCTTTCCATGCAACGCCCATAGGGCCAATGTTAAAATGCCAAAATC